AATATATTTTTACAATTAATATTAAAAAATAGTTAACTAGCTAATACACAAATTAAACATAAATTCATGAGATATTAGTTATCAAAAACAAAATTTAAGATTTAACAACATTCTAATTTATCATTTTAACAATTAAATACAAATTTTATTTTTGGATTTTACTTAAAATACAGAATAATTAAAAAATTGAAATAAAAAGAAAAAAATTCAGAAAACTCACTTATAGTAGAGACCAATATATTTGTAGATGCCTAGAACTTGTGATAAACACAACAGATCTGAAAAAAAAAATAAAAATTAGGCTATAGAAAAAAAAACACTTTTGTTAGGCTGTCAAAAAAAAAAAAAAGCACCAACGACATCGCCGGCCACTAACCAGCCGAAAAATGTTATTTACCTCTGTGGTTGGCCAGAGATTGGAGGAGGAGAAGCTTGTAGTGTAGAGGAAGAAAAAAGGAAGAAAAAAAAGGGGAAAATCGCAGATAGATTGTAATAGGGGAGGGGACAGGCACCACGAGGATAAAGGCTGCATGCAATCTTCTACGAACCGATCCCAGTCCATATACATCTGGCAGTGGGCCCCAACGTCTCATTGGTTCAGGGAATCTCTGACGCCTATTTTCAGACCAATTTCAGTCTGTATATGTTCAATATTCAAATCGACAACGGTCCGCATATTCCATGAAACTCGGCACTTTTCGTATGATATATATCGATCGATTTTGGTCCGTATATCTTTATTTAAATAATATTTTATTCCTAATTTTTGTTATTTAATATTTATTTTTTAAGAAAAAATATTCAGACCATTTCGGTTTGAATAATGGTCTGAATATTTATGGATATTCAAACCGAAACCAATCCGAATATGAAATGAACGTTAGCATTTTCTGAGTGATATATATGGATCAATTTTGGTCCGTATATATTCAGTTTAATAATACGTTATTCTTAATTTTTGTTATTTAATATTTATTTTTTATTGGAAAACTGTTTGGACCGTTTTTGATCTAAACATTATTGGCACGTTTGCACTGTTAATTCCCACCATAAATATATAGATCGAAACTGGTTCGAATACTTTGACTAATGGATTTGGTACCACCTTAATACATTTGAACCGAGATTGGTGTAATACCCCAAAATTTCTGGAGTATTAAAGTGTGAATTAGGGATCTAATTGTGAAGAATTATTATTAATGAACTTAATAGCAAAAATTTTCAAAGTTCAGGGACTAAAAAGAAAGGAAATTAGGATAAGGATCAGCTGCTTTCCTTTTTCTTTTTTCTTTCTTTCTTTCTTTCCTTCCTCATCAGACCCGCGTGTTTCTGCTCCTCTTCTTCTTCTCCCGACAGCCCCCCCAAGCCCCTCCAGCCATCGACTCATTTCTTGAGAAAATTTGGTGGCAAAGCTTGAATTTTCTCTTTCTTTCTTGTTCAATCACAAGATTTGGGGGCTTAGAATTCTCTCTCTCAACCCAGAAATTTTCGAATCTGCTCTGCTCTTCCTCCCCTGTCCACCGGTGCTGCTAGGCACGAAATTCTTGGCTTTCTCGGGTAAGCCACAGCCATGAACTTCATCTTTTCAGCTTAATTTAGGCTGGGTTTACTTTAATTGCTTTTATTTCCCTCAATTTGGAGGTAGCCGTGAGTCCCCTACAGAAATTGCCGCCGGCTTCTTCCCTCCGCCAGGTCCGGTTCTGCAGCTGGCTGGAAATTCTAGTATGTTGACAGCCCCATGAAGTTCGAAATTATCCATTTAATTGCTGGGCTTTGTCCATTTAGTTGATGCTCTGTGCTGTCCGAAATCTGCTGGAAATAGGGGATGAATTTGGCAGCCCTTTAAATGTGTTTTGTTGTTTAAATTATGTGGAAATTACTTGAATTGGCTGTTGTGATGTTTTGTGTGAAAATCCCGTGTGTGTGAGTTGTGGTTTGCCAAAGCCATGCTCTCCACGTGCTGCCCGTGAGAAATGGGGGGAATTTTGGTAGCTTAAGCTATGTTTTTAAGCTTGGGTTTAAGTGTAAATTAGCTTGAATTTGGTTGTTGTGACTTTGAAGAAAAATCCCGTGAGATTAGTTATTGTTTTGCTAATTTTGGAAGTTGAAGTTACTGTTCATAGGTACTGTTCATGAGCACTGTTCACGCACTGATGGCCAACAATTAACGGGAATTTAAATGTTTAGTTTGTAATATAAAAACAAATTTGGAGATGTCTGGTTATGTGGAGATTAATAGAAATAGCACCGTGATTAGGGGGTAGTGCTAATGATGATTTCATTTGAATTTGTGGTAGTGTGGTATTAATTCTGAGGTATTTTGATTAGGTTCTTGAGTGTTATGTCACCCGAGCACTGGGATCAAGCCTTCTATTCTGTGCTAGTAAGGTAAGTAAATTATGGTAAAACCTTTCACTTTTAAAGCATGTTTTAAATTGTTTTTGAGATGATGGTAAGGTTTAAATTGATTTTAAATTGATTTTATCAGCATATGAGTGTGATTAAACTGAAATGAAAATTTTGATGATTTTTATGAAAATTATTATTTTCTGGAATTGAGCATGATTGGAATGAAAATGAGAATTTCATTGTTTTTATGGAGTAAAGCATGCCTACTTGGAATTTACTGAACTGCTCTAATGATTTGAAAAATCTTGTAAATTCTGAGTTTTTCTGTTAAATCCATGCTCACATGGAAGTTTTTCGATTTATTTCTGAAATTTGAGATTGATTGTGAATTACGGATTTTTTTTGGAAATCCTGCATGGTTTTGTCTCGGATATAGTCATGATTACTGACGCCCGCTAGTGGGAGTTTGTAAACGCTGGCACATGTCGACATGTTTACTGATATGACTGGTTCATTCTGTAATCCTGCCAATGGGATAATACATTGGTAATTACTGACGCTTGCCAGTGGGAGTTTGTTAAACACTGGTACTTCTGTAACCCTGCCAATGGGGTTAAACATTGGTTGTTACTGACGCTTGCCAGTGGGAGTTTGTTAAACACTGGTACCATTACCGACGCCTGCCAGTGAGAGTTTGTTAAACACTGGCCATGACTTATAGATGAGACTACTGATGAGTTTTATTATGCATGAATGGTTTATCATTGAAAGTTTTGTTATGCTTACATGGTTTATTTGGCATGCTTAAAAATTTTTACCAAGGGCTATCCATATATTTACTTACTGAGATATTTTATCTCATAGTTTTCCTTGTCCACCATTTCATGAAGCGAAACCGAGGACAGGGAAACCGAGGGGAGTGACGAGGTAAAAGGCTTGCCATTCTAATTGGATATAAGTTTTAGATTTTATCATCTTTTTGTAAAGTAGATTTTATTCTTGAGATTTTGTGATTTGAATAAGTTTCGAATCTTGTGCACTTGTGGGACCCATCTCACAAGTGTGCGGCGTCTGCCACATCACCAGATTTAGGTTCTGGGGCATGACAATTGATGTAAATAGTTATTTATACAAATCAACATGATTCGGTCGGTATATGATCAGTTTGAATTAATCATTTTTCTAGTAGTGCAGATGGTGCTGATGTGGCATGGGTAACAATGGTCTAACACTCATGTGCATAGGATTTTAAATTTTGCCTCATTTACTAAAATTGAAAAATAGTAGGAAAAATATTCTTATTTTAAAAGATGAGGGACAAAGTATGGGTTTTTTACAAGACCTTGTAAGTAAAAGAAAGAATGTCTTGGGATTAAGAAAATGGCAGCTCCAATTTTTAAGGATCAGAAATTAGGTATTGAAAACTTAATTTTTCACTTTGACTAGAAGAATTTTATATATTTTAGTTTATTATTTTAACCTTAATTCTATTGATATTTGAATGAGTTGAAAATGAATTTATTATATTTTGTATAATTTTTACTATTGTGTAAAAAAGTACTAGCATATATAAAAGAAGAAAACTTAAGACTTAAGTGTAACTCTTTGAAAATATTGGGACTAAAGTGTAACAAGAAAAGTTGACATTAGAGACCAAATTAAATAAAATTGAAGTTTGAGGATCAAAGTGCACTGGAACTAAAAGATGAGGGACCAACATGTCATTCACCATTAAAATTGTGAGATTCTTCTAACATCAGCCGCGTTATGACGTCCGTCAACCGGGGGATTATACATGTCCTTTTTCTGTTGTTGAGGGATTTTTCTGAATTTTTCTAATAAACGTTGAAGCATGACAACGACTCATTTTATAAAACTGAGGGATTCTTTATGGCATTAAACCTTTCGATGGTATTTTCGACTTAAGGGATTTTTCTGAATTTTTCTCTTTTTTCTTATCACGACCTGAAAAAGTGAATATTTGAATAATTTATTTTGGAGTCAATTGTATGTGGCGAAACGGATGAAAATTTACATTGGTGGAAGGAAATAATTATTTGAAATTCAATTGCGTAAGTAAAGGTTTTTTTTTTTTTTTTTCTGTGGATTAATTAGAGATTCTGACATGTTGTGTTTAGACTTTAGACCTTTAATATTGTTGACTGACCACCGTCCAAATATTCTTTACCTTTCACGGATGATGACTGGACCATGTTGTCGCTGGCTACCTGGCTCTGCATGTTTGGAAGGCACTCCATTGGAAATGGAAGGATGAAACATTCCAAGTGGGAGCAATTTTACGTCAAGGCCAGGTTGAAGGTAATGGGAGATGCATAAAATTTAAAAAAACTCCAATTTATAGTGCAGACAATTAAACAAGAATAAAATAAGAGCAATAAGACAAAACAAGATAAATATACCGACTCATCTTGTCCCACCATCGATCACGGAATTATCTCTCCATGTGTCCTATAAATAGCATTCCTCTCAAGGTATTTCTCACATCATCTATCTCTACCAGCTCTAGCTACCTTAGAAACCCCAAAAACCCAAACGATAACTCTGTCGCTTGAGGATCATGGCGAAGCTATCAGCTGCAAGAGTCATTTTCTGGGTAGCCTTGATGGCTCTTGCAATGAGCTCTCTGGCACGACCACTACTTCTGCATAAGAGAATTGAGAGCCGCCTTCTTTTACTAGAATTAGGCTATGATGAAAAATCGTTGGGGCATTACAAACAGGTTTTCGCATCAACTGCAGGTGGAGATAGGCTTTCACCCAGTGGACCTGATCCTGAACATCACTCTCACCCTCCAAAAATGCCCTGACCATTTTGTTGTCTCAATAATGCTTATCTTTCTGGAGAAATTTTTTCATACAATAAGGATATGACATCAACGTATCTAGTAATATAATGATATATCAGCAGGTGTAACCTTTACTTGTAATTAAAAAATTAATTTATTATAATTTACTAATATATAATTGTAAGTGGAGCGCCACACATGCTGATATATCAATATTCTAGGAAACAAAGATACAGCTAATATGATATCCCTGTTGTCTTGAAGAATTTTTCTTTCTGTACTCTTTCTTTGTCTTCCTCAGATATTATATAATAGCAAGACCCCAAGGTGTGCTTTGCATTCCTGGTTTCTATCGTATTCGTTTTACTATTTACTAATTGAATAGTAATCTAATTATATACCGTACCTAAAAAATCTCAATTATTATTTTTTTACTTTTAATTATTGAGATTTATTTATATTTATTAAAAAAATATCTTTTACACTTAAAAAATCATGACAAATATAAACAATTAAAAGTGAAGAAAAAAATAATTAAAATTTTATATAAATGTGGTGTAAAACTTATGTATTAATAAATCCCTCTTCTTACTAATTATACATTTCTGTATTAATAATTAACTAAAAATATATATTAAAGTATTCTTTTTGATAATTACTACTTTAAATCTAATAATTCATCAAAAGAAGTTTGAATGCTAAATATGAAAAGAAGATTTAAAAACCACAACTATACTATGCGGAGTCTAAGTTTAGGAGATCTTTTGTATTTGAAATGGTGAGTTGTTGCACTTGGCATTCAAGGTAAAATGAAGGTTGGTGAGGCACTATCATTGAGTTGATGCAGGGTCGAGGGCTGATGTATGCTTGTTCTTTTAAGGTTTTATTCTTCAATTAGTAGCCTGTAAATCTATACCTTGGGCACTCTCCTCATACTCCTGTCTTTCACCTTTTTCTAAAGAACACATCATCAGTATTATGCTTGGGGCTTAATTTGATAAATCATCTATTAAATGTTGACCTTTTTTTATTTTAGTATAAAATTTTTGTTTTCTTCTAAAATTGTATCAATTTCGTCTAATACAATTTTGATAAATAGATTGGTGGAAGTCCATGTAAGCAATATGTGGGATGAAAATAGAGGAAAAATTCCCGCCTCTTTGTTTCCCTAACGTAATTAAAAATAAATAATTAAATTATAATTTAATCTAATTAAAACAAAATCCAACTAAAATAACAAAAATAAAATTATTTAAGTCTCATGTTCTTTATATGACAGCTTATATGACACCTTATATTCAATAATGTGAATTTCTGTCAGTCATACTAACAAAATTAGATTATGTAAGCTAATTAAATTGATACAATGTTGAAAATTAATAAATGTTTATGGAAGAAAATAAAAATTTAACAATGTTATAATTATAATGTCATTTAAAATTATAAATTTATAATTATGATATAACATTAAATTAATAAGTATAATATAACATTAAACTAGTAGATGCATACAATATTATTGGTGAATCCGTAAATGAAAAGAACTAATTATATAATAATGTATTATGTTATAAATTTATAATATCACGTAATATTATAATTATAATATTTTTAAAAAAAATTCTAAATTAAAAGGAAAAAACGTTAATAATTAATAAATAATTTGCTAAATTAAGCCTTATGCTAAAGTTATGTGTGAACTACCAAAAACACATTCACTGCCAGATTCGAGGGCCATATTACGAAGCTCCGCAGGTAAACTATTGAAATGCTGTTCCTACATAACATACGGTGCAATGTGCCATCTACGGGGTGATGTCAGACATAAAAGCTTGATTCATATGGGATCTCTTATGCCGGATGCAAACAAAGCTTTCATATATTGTTGAACAAAAAGATTGAGTGAATGTGAATTAGAGGTTAATTAGGTTTAAAAACCTTTTATTGACAATGACATGTATATGCTTGTTGCAGAACTGCAATTTGTCTTTGAACTGCATTTACAGGCAACCTGAAGCACGCCGTCCATCCAAACATTGTTTGTTTTCCTGTAATTTGTTTATTTTCCTTTTCTCATCTCCCACATGAACCTCACTACGGCGCAGACCTGATTGGCAGCTTGCGTGGAGACACAGATTTTCAATTATTAAAAATTGTGGTAAATCTTTTGGTATATATAGTATAGATTTAATCCTTGGAATTGGATCCATCCATTAATTAATATAAAAAATGAGGAAACCATGATTTAAGGTCATGGTTAGGCCTTTAAAACCCTGCAATATTAAGCAACAAGACAAACTCTCTAAATATAAAAATGGGGCGCCGTCACTTGCATTACATAAAAAGGTTATTAAATAAAGTATGGTTGACGCTAAAACTAGTATAATGCTACCCCACTATGGTAAGAAAGGATATAAAAAAATCTCCAAAAGGAGTCCTTCCTTGGAAATTAATACAGGACTGTAAACCAATTAAAGATTAAAGAAATCCATTCCGCTTTCATGCAGTCAAAGACGAGCTGTCATTTCTTATTTTTTCCTTTTTCTTTTCTCTTT